GGGAGAGACGGGAGAGGGTTTATAGGGCATTGGTAGGCGTTTGGATGACACTGGGAGGGACTGGGATAGCACTGGGAGGGACTGGGAATATATTGGGGTAGAAGAGAATGGCCGGGGGCTGGTCAATGGGGAGAGAGTTGGGAGATCTGAGACTGAAATGAGAACGACTGGGAATGGAGTGAGACGTTGTGGGAGTGGAATGAGAGGGTCTGTGAAGGACTGGGAATGACTAGAAGGACTGGGAGGGACTGGGAAGGAACCGAGCGGAATTGGAGGCTGAGTCCTGGAGAGGGAACTCTGAGCTGCGGATCTGCCCGGTAACTGATGAGTCATCAAAAATCGCTCTCTGATTGGCTAAGGCTGGGAGCTGGGTGACCCCAGCGGAGTGGAGACGCGGCGGGGCACTGGGAGAGACTGGGACGGAGTGGAGGGCACTGGGAGAGACGGGGGTGGACCTGGGGAACTGAGAGGGGGCAAAAGGCCACGGGAATGGGCACAGGGAGGGCTGAGGGGTCAGCGGTGATTCCCAGGGAGGGTTTCAGGGGCTCCAGGGTCGTTCCCGGGGCAGGGGAATTCCCGAGGGGACCCGCTCTGCCCCGCGCTCACCTCTGCGGTTTACCAAAAACAGGGTGGACACCTCGTAGATTTTCCGGCACAACCAGTCCACTGCAGCCCGTCTGTACTCCAGCAAGTCCTGTTGGCTGTTCCAGTACCTGGCTTGGATCTCCCCATACGGGGTGTCCCCCACATAGACTCCCACATCGCTGTCAAAGTGGGCGTACTGCTGCCGGTTGTAGATGAATCTCTCCATGAACCTCACCTGCTCGGTGCCGTTGATGAAGTGACACTCAGCCTTTTTCAACTTCTGGAACACCCCTGTGTGTGCAGGACACGGGTCAGGGGGTGTCCTGTCCCCCTCCCATCATCCCCTATCCCACCACAGCACTTTGGGAGCTCAGGGAACCACCTAGGACCCCCCTTTCCCACCCTCCTCTGCCCCACGGCCGCCGCAGCACCGGCTCTTGGCTGAGGGGTAACCCCCCATCAGCCCCCCGGGGATGAACTGGAGGGTTGGGGACCCCCCAGTGCAGATCCGAGCCCCCCAGAGCCCCAGGGAACCGCTGCAGGGCTCCAGTGATGGGGGACACCAAGGGACCTCTTCCTGCTCTCCCTCCCCCCTTTCCCACTGTCCCCCCAATCCCCAGACTCTCCTGCGCTCACTGTGGGGCTCCCACCCCCCTCTCACTAATTCCGAGGGTTCCAACCCCCCTCGAAATCACTTTTATGGCTCCCACCCCCTCTTTTCTCTCCTCTTTCCCCCCTTCCCGCCCCCCCCGCTCACCCGAGAGCTCCTCGCCCGCAGCCGGGAGGGCTCCCAGCACCACCAGT